AAAAAAAAAAAAAAAATTATTCAAAGGAAACAACTGAAGCATTGTGTGTGTGTTTTTAATTAAAGAAATTAAAAAGTAACAGATGCAAATTGGCAAGTGTTCACACTTGAGTATCTAATATCACAGCAATTTGAGCAATTTAATTTTATTTTTAGTAAACCAACCACTGCACTACTCAGAACTCTCCTCTTGTGTGCTATTTTTGTTTTTGTACATACCCACTTTAGAAACAATGGTTAAAGAATATTATGATGGCATGGACATTTTAAGATGAAAGCATCACTAGACCTCTTCTATAGATTTTTCATCTTAAAATGTCCATGCCATCATGCGTCAAACTGCAGTCATTTGAACTGCAAGGTAGGTGGTTCAACCTCACCAGTTGCTCCTTGGAAACCCTGCACACAGTCACTATGCTTCAGAATAAATATGACAGCACTTCACAACAACAAATGTGATGCTTTGGAGATGCTCACCTATCTAAAAGAAAAGTTTAAGCCAGTTTCCCGACCAACGATTTGGAAGAGATCCATTTTTGTGCCAATTCCCAAGAAAGCTCACCCACTATAATGCAAAAATCACTGAACAATATCATTAACACCACATGAAAGTAAAACTTTGCAGCAGTTATTTAAAAAAAAGGGGTTGCAACAGTACATCAGCTGTGAATTGCCATATATTCAAGGCAGATTCAGAATAGGACATTGAACTAAAGATATCATTTCTGACATTGGATGGAACATGTATGAAAAACAGAAAATACCAGAAAGATGTTTACTTGTTTTATTGCCTTTGCAAAGACTTTGATCTGTATGGATCATAACAAACTATGGATAGCATTATAAAGAATGGGGTTTCCTGAATGTTTAGTTGTTCACATGAGGATTCTTTACATAGAATACGATGTAGCCACTGGAACAGAACAAGTGGATACTGAGTGGTCTTAAACCAGGAAGGTGGACACTCAGGTTGTATCCTTTCACCATATTTAAGCAACCTGTATGCTGAAGAAATAATCTGAATTGAATCATCTGAAGAAGAATGTGGCATCAGAATTGGAGGAATACTCAGTAACAATTGGTGAAGTGCAGATGATAACAACCTTACCTGATGAAAGCAAAGAAGACTTAAAACACTGATGAAGATCAAAGGCCATAGCCTTCAGTATGGAATGCACCTCAGTGTAAAGAAAACAAAAAAACCTAACACTGGACCAATAAATAACATTATTGTAAACGGAGCAAAATTTGAAATTGTCAGAGAATTCATTTTTCTTGATTATTCACAATAACATTCATGCAAGCAGTAGTCAAGAAATCAAATGACGCATTGCATTAAACAAATCTGCTGCTAAAGACCTCTTTAAAATGTTAAAGACCAAACATATCAATTTGAGGTCTAAGTAGTGCATAACCCAAGTCATGGTATTTTCAAACACCTCATACTCGTGGGGAGTCCTGGTGTGGCACTGTAAAGACTGTAAAGCTGTTTGAACTGCAAGGTCAGTGGTTCAAACTCACTAGTTGCTCCTCAAAAACCCTATGCAGGGTAGATATGGATCGGAACTGACTAGACAGCGCTTATCAACAACAACAAAAACATATGCATGTGAAAGTTGAACAATGAATAAGGAAGACTGTAGAATCATTGATTCATTTTAATTATGGTATTGAGAAGAGTATTAAAATATCAGGAACTGGCAGAAAACAATCTATCTTCCAATAAGTGCAGCCAGAATGCTCCTTCAAAGTGAGGACAGAAAAACATCATCTCTTGTATTTTGGACATGTATCAGAGGGACCAGTCCCTAGACACAGACATTGTTGTGTTGTTGCTGTGTTGTCAAGTTGGTTTCTACAGATAGTGACCCTGGATAGGGTTTCCAAAGAGAAGCTGATGTGTTTAAACTGCTGACCTTGTTGTTAAAAGTCCAGTGCTTATCCTACAGCATCACACCTCAAGAATGACATTATGCTTGGTACAATGAAGGGTCACCGAAAAGAGGAAGACCCCCAATGAGATTGATTGACATAGTGGCAGCAACAATGGGCTCAAATGTAATGAAATTGTGAGGATAGCACTGGATTGATCAGTGTTTTGTTCTGCTGACTCCAGGGCATCTAAGTACAACTTGAGATGGAACTAACTCTGTTGTAGGTGTAGGACCATGAGGGAAACATAAAAGAAGAAGTATCCTTCTTTTAAAAACAAACAAACAAAAAAACCCCAAAACATTTCAATAAGGATATTCAGAAGCACTTGCATTTCCAAGGTTGACAAATGAGTAATGCATTTGACTGCTATTTAAAAGATCAGCACACATCTAGAGGTCCCTTGGAGCAAAGTCCTGATGATCTTTGGAAGAGAGAGTCATAGACAATCCCTTGGAACACAGTTCTACTTTGACACACATGGTGTTACCATGAGTCATAATCAAGGGCAACTGGTTGTTCATTTTAAGAAGCAGTCAAATGTACTTTGTTTTATCTGTGTTGTTATTAGGTACTTTTGTGTCATTTCCTACTCATAATGTCCCTGTACATGGTTTCCAAAGAGAGGAAGATTGTTTGAACTGCTAACCTTTTTGTTAGTAATCCAGTGCTTATCTAATAGTGCCATACCAGAACTCAAAGAACTATGAAGTACATTCTTTTGATATGGAGTATTAATTTAAAAAACAAAGAAATGGTTGTGGTGGCAGTTGTGTGCTACTGAGTCAGTTTAAACTCATAGAGACCTGTATAGTGTTTCTGAGACTGTAAAACTTTATGGGAACAGAGAATCTCAACTTTCTCTTCTAGAGCAACTGGTATATTCAAACTGCTGAACTTGCTCATAATCCATTATACTACTTTGGTTCCTTACAATAAATAATATAATCACATTTAAAAAAATGAAAAACACAAAACCCACACACCACCATTGTCATACAGTTGATTCCAATTCATGGCAACCCCATGTGTTACAGAATAGAATTACTGCTGAGTGTTTACTTGGCCTTGTTTTTACTGAAGCAAATTACCTGGGCTTTAGTTCACGAAACTGAATGTTAGTTTGAATTACTAACCTTAAAGTTAGTAGTTGAGTTCACACCATGTGCTTCATCCATGAACCTCATTAGCCAGGTTTTAAATTAAAATAAAATGGTCATGATCAGAGAACATATGTATATGTCAATTATTTTCAAAGGTTTTAGTCATTCTTTGGTTTGCTGACATCTATGTTATGTGGTGTTATATGGCCATTCCAATAGGTGGGATGTCTATTAAAAAATCTTTTCAAATATATGCCCTCTCCTTTTGTTTAATGGATATAAAATTGTGATAACTATGTGCTTGATAAATGCACAAAACCAAATAGCCTTGGTGATTTCAAAGATGCCATTAGTGAAAAATGCATCAATGACTCAAAAATAATTTACTTTTAAGAAACGCTTTGTTCCTATTTTTCAATGTATGCAACATTATTTGCAAAAGTCTGTTGTCCAATGGCTTTTTTTTTTCCATGTTATTTTTTCCATTCTCTATAAACTTGACACAATCTGATTCTCATCATGAATGTTTGGAAAATACTGTTTCCTTATAAGAATAACAGTCTTATTTATAGTTGAGGAAATTAAGACCAGGGCAGTTACAAACCCAGGTTTAAACCCAGTAAATTCTTGTATATCAGGGAGACTGGTGGTGGTGGTGGTTATGTGCTGTGGAGTTAGTTCTGATTCACAGCGACCTTGTACAAGGATTCCTAGGCTGTAAATCTTTATGGGAGCAGACAGCCTCATCTTTCTCCCATGGAACAGCTGGTAGTTTCGAACTGCTGACCTTGAGATTCACAGCCCAATTTGTAACCACTACACTACTCCTCATTTCAGTTCTCAGAGGAAAATAAACTTCTTCATTACTTTTGGCAGACACAATATAATTTAATTGATAAACGTGTAAAGGTGAAAAGAATAGAGGGGAATATGAAGTAACACACTGCTAATTTTCACTCTGATTTCTGGTGTGACGCTGAGGATAAGCACTGAACTGCTAACTGTAAAGTAAGTGGTTTAAACCCATCAGTCATTCATTAGAAATCCTGTAGAGTCATTATGAGTCAGATCTGATTGTTGTTATGTGCCATCCAGTTGGTACCAACTCATAATAACCCTTTGCACAGCAGAACAAAACACTGATTAGAAGACACTTAACAATTTGCCCTCACTTGCACTGTGGGCTAAGGTTTCAGACTGTAAAGTGATTTGAATTGCAAGGTCTGTGGTTCAAGCTAACCATCTGCTCCTTGGAAATCCAATACAGAGTTGCTATGGGTCTGAATTGACTCGATGGCACTTAACAACAACATGCCAAGAAATTTGGAAGGAAGATACCTACCTAGCCAATTGATTAGAAGAGAACCAAATTTTTGTCCATTCCAAATAGTGACCCAACAGAATGTGAAATTCATAGAATAATATCATTGATATAACATGCAAGTACAATTTTGCTGAAGATAATTTAAAAAATGGTTGCAGTAACACATAGCAAGGAGTTGCCAGAAATTATTCCAGTCACATTCAGAAGAGGATGTAGAAACTAGTGTTAT